CACAGCAACAAAACAGGCAGGCTTCCAAGGAGTCACACATGACCACTGGCCCTCCCTCTCTCTCCTGAGTAGCTCACAAGAATGAAAGAACATGTGGAGAAAACTGTAAGAACGAAACAAGAAAAAGGCCAGTCTTGCAACAGCTTATCATTTGATACCAAGCTATAACAACCTAAAATCAGAAAACTAAACAATTATAATAAAGTTATATAGCTCTGTGCAACTGAATAAGCATTCTAACACCTCATTCAATCCTTAACAACTGTGAAAAGTAGATTCTGTCCCTCTGCCCTCTGATAACTAAAAAAAAACAAGTTCTGAGTATGATTTTCTTGACTATGGTCAGCAAACTAGTAAATGAGAGAATTCGGGCTTCCACCTGGTCTCCCAATGCATAATAATATAATTATATTTCTTATGTATATTATATAATTTATAAAAATTTTCAAATTTATAATCTATTTCTTATGAGAAAGATACACAAATACACGTATATATATCTTACACTGTATCACTTGTCTCTATAAGTAAACTTGAACCTAATAATTTTTTAAGAAGTTCGATCTGCATTTGAACAATTGTAACTGAGGAAAACCTAAATGCTTCACCTATGTTATCACATGGCTCCATCATATTTTGGCAAAACTTAAAAGCAATCTTTCTTAAAATAAAAATCAGCGAAGAATGCTGATAATTTACAATCTGCAATGCTTAAGAAATATTCCCAATTTTCACAAAGAGCTAATAAATTATAGATTCATAAATATTTAAAGATAACCCGATGGGGCCCTTCATTAAATTTACATGGACATTGCTAGATTTATAGCTTTTGTGTAAACGCTGAGACTAAAGAACACTGAAAGTCAAAGGAAGACAGCATTAACCATAAAGAACATTTTTCCACTGTCATTCATTTTTTTCTTTTTTTGAGACAGAGTCTCGCTCAGTGGCCCAGGTTGGAGCACAGTGGCACAATCTTGGCTCACTGCAACCTCCTCCCGGGTTCAAGTGATTCTCCTGCCTTAGCCTCCCAAGTAGCTGTGATTACAGGTGTCTGCCACCACGCCAGGCTAATTTTTGTATTTTTAATAGAGATGTGGTTTCACCATGTTGATCAGGCTAGTCCAAACTCCTGACCTCAAGTGATCCACCCGCCTCCGCCTCCCAAAGTGCTGGGATTAGAGGTATGAGCAACCACACACGGCCTCCGCTGTCATATTTAAGCACTTTCCTCTATGCACATTGTGCAGGTTATTCCCAATTGAGTCTCCTAGCAACAAGATGGAGGGAGGGTATTATAAGAGGCTTTCCCAATTCAAAACACTTTTACTATCAGACTCAGGCCGATTTAAAATCATACTAGCAGTTCATTGACATTGTAAGTTGGAATTTGAAATTAACTACAAAATTCCATAGCTCATCCCTGGCAAAAAACTAAAGGACAATACAGCTCTTTTGGAAGTAGTCTTACTACATGTACTATACTACAAACTTCAGAAAAAGGTTTAATTCCACAGCAACAAAAGCACATCACTGTTTAACTGGAAATCAAGCAGAAACACAAACTACCACAACAGTGATTTCCTGCGACATTTGCATCCCTTGTCAGCTCTTTTCCTGGGAAGGAAGGTTGGGGGTTGGGAAGGAATACTGATACCTTCCTTATCAAGCAGATAAGGCAAAGGATTTGTGTCTCACACGGAGAAGAAATAATTTGACTAGCACATTCTCATAAATATATACACATATTTTCACCTAATTTTACTGAAAGCAACAACAACAAAAAAAGCTATAGAATACTACTAAGAACACAGTATTGCCACAAAACCAGTGTGAGTGGTAAACACTAGAGAACTCATGATAGGCTTTAATCTGCAGAAAGAACATTCATAATGTCTCTGAGACATTATGAATAGGAAAACCCATCGTCACCATTCACACTCAGTTTACACAAAAGTTAGTGCATCTTCTTACCTGGGTACAACAGGTCAGTTTATTATCTAGCTTTGGGACCTACAGCAAGTTACTTAGCCTCTCTGTGCTTCAGTTTCTAGTGTATAAATAAATGGAGGCAATAATATTATATCTCAAAATTTATTATGAGATATAATATCTGCAGTATGCCAAGCACCTTTTAAATGACTGCCACAACCTCAAAACTATATTGCCTGTCCTCTTTAAAGCACTAGCTAGTCAGCTCTTAAATACATGAGCTCTGATGATAACCAAGTCAGTATGTGTGTTTTATTAATTTTGTGTTATGTTAATTCAGGATTCTGACTTAATTCAGGGGATGGGTTGCCCTGCATTTAAATAAAGGATTACAGGTAGACCTTTAGGAATGAAAATGGGGACATTCTATAACTAAGAAGACAGGGGAAGGGTGGAGTAACATGTATTCCAGCCTAGAAAGGTGATCATAGCTGCTATCTATAAGGTAGGATTCTAAACATCTAAAATTGATACACAATCTTAATTTTCCTACTGCCACAGAGATACTACCTCTGTTTTCTGGCTTCAATAATTATATATTACTAAATTCACACAACTCTACTCTTCTTCCCAAAGAAGAAGCTTTCGTGGAGGAAGTATTACTGGAAATAATCTTCAAAGTACAAATCACACTTGCATGATACATTAATGATTAAAGCTCTTTCACATATTTTACTTCATTAAAAAGATCAATGATGGAGTCTGAAAAGTCTTTTGGCTCTGAAATTCTGGAAAAGTCATCTGTCTAGCCTACTGCTTCTTTGATAAATAACTGGAGCTGACAATTTTGATGAATATGCTAATTAACATCTCATAGTCACTGTCTCCAACGTCCATGGTTCTAAATGTTTTACAAACATAATCTCACTGAACCCCCATAAATTTTGAGATATAATATTATTGTCTCCATTTTTTTATACACTAGAAACTGAAGCACAGAGAGGCTAAGTAACTTGCTGTAGGTCCCAAAGCTAGATAATAAACTGACCTGTTGTACCCAGGTAAGAAGATACACTAACTTTTGTGTAAACTGAGTGTGAATGGTGATGATGGGTCTTCCTATATGTCCTGTCGAAAACACAGGTAGCAACAGTTAAAAGGGAGATGTTTCCTTAAAAACAAAGGCTTTTCAAAATCCTTTAAGGATTATAAGCTCAAGATTTGGCCTAGTTTCCTAAAAACATTAAAAATCTCTTTCCCAAAAGGAGTGTTCTTCAGAGACAAGCACCAAGTGCTGTCATGCTTTTTCCTCTGCTAGTTACAGACTCTCCCAGGGAAGCACTTCCTGAGTTGAAATACATTGTAACATTAAAATAACCTCCTGGCATGAGGTACTATGACATCAAATTTTATCAGAGTGAATTTTAAATGTTTTGTGACTCAAAACATTTAAAAGGAGTTAGTGTGGCGCTAGCATTTGACGGTAACTTTTAAATGCGAAACAAAACATAATTCATACCTATATCTCCTACACATCACATGAGAAATTTAAAAACCAGCTACGATAAATGTCCTCTGAGAAGTTCTTGAGGACAGGGATTCTTATCTTCATGCATCTTTGCAGCTCTTTATACATTACTGCAGTTATGCAGACTGCATGAAACTTGTCCTTAAGCATTGCCTAAAGATGTATCAATAGTGGTAAAGTATTATAATTTATAACCAGCAGAATAAGGTTGGCAAAACAAGCTAAGAGCCCATTATGTGTGTCTTCTGAAATAAGAGTCTGAACTGAAGGTGTACAGAAATAAAATAGTGTCTAATCATGCAATGCGTTAAGTATCTGCTCCTGGTAACAGCAAAGGATCTTTCATTTTCAAAAGTAAAAAACGAAACAGAGACACACGAAATTTCTGCCTTTCTCTTCCTAAACAGCTGAATCATTCACATATTCAACAGCTCAGAATTCTTCCGGGCTGTCAGTGCGGGATCCGCTTTTTGAGAGGCTGGAATTTAAAATCCTCCTTAGAGGGCACGGAAGAATTACAGGAAATCAACGGGATTCCCCAAGGGCGCTGACTGAAACCGGAGCTGCGTTCCGATTAATCAAACAGAAGGCCCTGGCTATCAATCAATCTCTGGCGAAGGAAAAATACTATGCTAAGAAAATGTATTCGTTTATTATTCAAGTATTTACTAAAGGTGTACTCGGCGCAAGGCCCCTGGTGGGAGGCCAACAAGCACACCAGCTCTGGAGCTGGGTGCCAGGCCGCCCCCTCCGGGGACGCCCCCAGATGCGCGTGCCTAGCTGCAGGGCGCGGTCCCCGTACCGACCCCTCCGGCTCCTCCCTGGCGCGCCTCACCCGGACCGTTCTCCGGAGCGATGCGGGCTTCAGCGTGGCGAAATGCACCAATCCGACTCGCCACGCACGGAGAAGGGGGCCCCACGCGCGCCCCGGGCAGCCGCGCCCGCGGGGCTCAGGGCGACGCTGACCTGCAAGGGCATGGGACCCCCGCACGAACTCGGGCCAAGGCGAGGGGGTATCCAGGGTCTCCAAACGGCTCGTGGCGCTGACAGCTCCCCAAGGTGTTCTAAGGGCTTCATGGGGCGCTTGGGGTGGGGGGTTCTGGGGGTCCTAGGGATTCTCTGAAAGGCGCGTGGGGGCTGAGGGTCCTCCTGAGACTCTGGGGATACCAAGGGGGCGTGTTAGTGGATCTGGAGGGCGCCTAGGGGCTGAGGAGCCCTGGGGAGTTCTGCCGGCCCTAGAGGGTCTCTAGAGTGCGCGTGGGGTCTGAGCGCCCCTGGGAGGATGCGGGCTTTCCAGGGACCCTGGGGGGCCCTGTGGGGGTCTCTGGAGGGCGCCTGCGGACTGCGGGCCCCTGGGCGTCCTAGGGGTTCGAGGGGGCGCTGGGGGGCCCTACAGGATTTCCGGAGGGCGCCTGCAGGCTGAGGGCCCCTAGGCGCGGTCTGAGGGCGCCAGAAGCTGCGTGGGGAACTTGGGGAGTCAGCCTGAAGGGGAGGGGGCCAAGTGCGGGGACCCCTAGGGCACGCACGGTCTGGCGCTCACCCAAACAGCCCTCGGAGGAAGGAGTGGGAGGCCTTGACTCGCTTCTCGGCCTCCGCCATCAGCTGTACCGCCTCACGCTCCTTCCCCGCGTTGTCCATGTCGCCCGCAGCGGCCGCCACAACCCCTCAGCCGGCTTGCTACGCGCCCTGGGCGCCTCAGCCCACCTTCTGGCGGCCGCAGGGGCGCAGGCGCGACGCGCGAGTCCTGTCGGGAGTTGTAGTCGGGACCTGTCATGGCGGCGGGGATGCGCAAGCCACCTACTACAGTTCCCAGGACGCCGCGGGGCGGGAAGTCTGTGAGCCGAGCTAGCACACCGCCAGCTCCCGGGGCTTCGGCGCAGGGGGCGTGACCCGCCAGAGGTGTCCTGGGCCAAGGTGAACTTTAATCTTTTTTGTATGCGGAAATGGAAAATGATCAGTGGCCTCAAGTAAAGACCACCTAATCGGTAAGACTCACATGGCAATGGTATGGATGAAGGAACAGGGGATAGCAGATTGGGTGGAACCCACACCCTACATGCAAGTTCGGCAGAAGAGAATCGGGTGTAGCCACCGAAAGCATCCCTTGCTTGACACCGCCCACCAGAAAACGAGCAACAGCTGGCAATAAGAGCCATTTTTATCTCCAAGAGCAAGACGTCCCCAGTATAAGTTCAGTTATTTTTAAATCTCCCCAAACTGCAACTTTATGTTGGTCCTCTCTTCCTTGGTTATAAATGAGTTGCACATATGAGATATATGCATAATCCACTCTTTTTGTTGACTGAATTATTTTCGATGGATGTGAGCCATTGAACTCTTATCCTTTACGTAATGCTGGCCATAGTGGATGGATCTCCAGGGACAAAATTTTTGCCTGCCAGGAAGACTTCTAATCTCCTAGGAGAAGAATCCATAGATAGATGGAATCCTGTGCCAGAGACTTTCAGGCCTGTCCCAGAGGGAGTTATTTTTGAATACAATGTCTAGACCATTCAGGCTTGGCAGTGCTAAGGCAGAGATGCTGAAGCTAATAAGAAAATCACTGCCAAGTGAGATTTATGACAGTTTCAAACTATTAATAAATACACTGTGGGTACTGGAAAGCAAAATTTTTAAAAGTGAAGCCTGTCTGTAGAGAGCAAGGCGAGAGGGGCCAAACTCTTAGAAAAAAAGTTCACTAAAGCACATGCTACCGAGTTCATACATTGTAGGCCTCTGTAGAGATAGAAATCTCAGCTCTTCATGTAGTTTACTTGTGATTACTACGTGCATTATTCTAACTTTGAAAAGCTCATCTGTGCACTTTTGAAGAAAGAAAGAGGCAGGAAATTGGAGGTGACCATAAATACAGGAGAGACCAGAGGAAAACTGTAAAAAGTGAACATAAGCATTTGGAAAGCAGAGCAGTCTATGGGGGATTTAATGGAGTGAGGCTAAATCAAAAGCTCCTAAGTAAATCAGTGTGCTGATTAAATCAGTTCCCAAACGTGGTTCAATGCAGAAGCTCTAATGGATATTTAAGAAATACTGATTGCTAGGCCACTACTAGGTTTTGATATCAAGATATCTAGGAGCTGGGATCTAGAAAATGTACATTTTGAAAAGAACTCTCCACCTCTATTCTAAAGCACACAGTTCTACATTCTCAAATCTGCTGAAAGTCAGTTGAAAAGGAGCTGAAATGGACTGCCTCTTCAAAACTAGTACTTGCAATTAAGAGTGACGTTTTTCGGGGGCCGGGCGCGGTGGCTCACGCCTGTAATCCCAGCACTTTGGGAGGCCGAGGCGGGTGGATCACGAGGTCAAGAGATCGAGACCATCCTGGTCAACACGGTGAAACCCCGTCTCTACTAAAAATACAAAAATTCAGCTGGGCATGGTGGCGTGTGCCTGTAATCCCAGCTACTCAGGAGGCTGAGGCAGGAGAATCGCTTGAACCTGGGAGGTGGAATGGAAGTTGCAGCGAGCCGAGATCACGCCATTACATTACAGCCTGGGCAACAGAGTGAATGAGACTCCGCCTCAAAAAAAAAAAGTTAGACACCTGAAAAATGGCTAGTGCAAGAAGATCACTTTGACCTTTTCTTTTTTACCTACAGAATACACACTGGGCACTTTGGCCTCTTGTTTCTTAAAAGCAAGAGATGAAATTCCCATATGAAAGATGTCCTTCCTATACTAGAAATAAAGCAACATTCTTATCACCAAAGACAGGAAATTGAGGCCAATAGAATTCTGTAAAAACAAACCCTGTTAAACTAACCTTTATCTTCCTAGTCATTTCTCTATCCAATTAACCACCCTAGCCCAAGCCCCTCTGCCTCATCGCATTTTCAGTTTACCATTCTTTGTCCAATTCAGTAAAAAGTAACACACTCTAACTGCTTCTTTGAGTTTTGATTTCCTTATGAGAACTCCCATGCCATGTAAAACTTTTATCAAATACATCTGTGTGCTTTTTTGCTATTTGTCTTGTATCAGTTTAATTCTCAAACTCCACCAGGAGCCTAGGTGAATGGAACATAGGATGTCCCCTACACTAACATATTGGACTGCGCAGACAGAGAACATTTTTATCTTTGCACAAGTCCTAGTGGACGGCACTAGCCTCTATGTACCTTGCTTTTCAGCAGCTCTGGGCACGTGTAAGAAAAGAGGAAAAAGGCTTTAGGGAATTTCCAAGAAGGCAGAGCAGGAAAGGAGCCTGTAGCCTGAAGAAGGCAGAGTCAACAGTACTGCTGGCTTTTCCCTGTGAGCAGATGGAGGTGGACACCTGGATGCCCAGACTGAATCAACACACACCCCGAAAGATGGTCTATCAAGACAAGGCTGAAGCTACTTGAGAACCCCAACTCTGGCCAGGCACAGTGGTTCACCCCTGTAATCCCAACACTTTGGGAGGCTGAGGCGAACAGATCACGTGAGGTTGGAAGTTCAAGACCAGACTGACCAACATGGAGGAAACCCTGTCTCTATTGAAAATACAAAATTAGCCAGGCATCGTTGTGGGCTCCTGTAATCCCAGCTACTCAGGAGACTGGGGTGGGATAGTCACTTGAACTCCAGAGACGGAGGTTGCAGTGAGCCGAGATGGCGCCATTGCACTCCAGCCTGGGCAACAAGAGCAAAACTAGGTCTCAAAAAAAAAAAAAAAAGAAGAAGAAGAAAAAGAAAAGAGAACTCCAACTCTAAGAAAGCCAGAGTCAGAAAACAACAGAATTCATATGGAAAAGGGGTGTAGCCATCGGCATGTTTTCACAGAAGGGGAGCAAGCACCAGGCAAAGATCCAGTATGGAAATTTACAGGGCATGACTGCTGATTCACTGAAGCAAAGCAAGACTCACCCACATTAAAGGGGAGGGAAATGAGATGCCATCTCCTGATGGGAAGGCCTCTGAGGATTTGCAGATGTTTGCAGACCACAACAGTTAGGTCATAGGGAGTCTATGTTTAGCCTGGACTACTCTGATTGCACTGACAAAGCTGGGAAGCTGGAGCCCCCAGGCTGGGGTTAGGGGACAGCCCTCACCTCACATGGCCCTGCTGTCCCAAGGGTCCCTGCCCGGGTCTGCAGTGGCCTCCTCTGATGACATCTCCGGTTTGGTTCTTCCTGAAATGCTAAGCGTGGCTCAGTCATCGAACAAGGTCAAAGCAGAGTATTGTGCTTCAGAAGGCAGGGAAGGAAGAAGTCCATTTGTGGAGGCTCTTCACCCCAAATCGTTAAAGGAATGCATTAATGAAAATAAATCCTCCAACTGTGTGGATGAGGTTGTGCAATTCTAAGGATAGAATTTAATTGTTCTATTTACAGTAATTCTTTTCATTTTTCTCATAGAAAACCCAAGAACATTTGAATAGCACATTTCAGAGAAATAATTAAATAGCTGTCTTTTATTAATCTTTAAAATTTTTTTCGAAACAACATCAGTTTATGTGTTTGTGTGTAGGTGTACGGGGTGACATTTCACACGATGTCAAAATTGTTACAAGTTGCCCCAAATCTAACTTTGTTAACAATCTTACTTAACATTTCCTTAAAATATTACTCTACAAAATTCAGACCAAAAATTTAGAAAAGGTAAAATTAAATATACACAAATATCTCTTAGGGGAAACAAAAAAACAGTAAACTAAGTTAAATAAATTCTTATGAAAAAATACTTATTGTCATTAGTAAGTGTTCTTCTTCTTCCTTTTTTTTTTCTTTTCTTTTTCTTTTTTTTTTTTTTTTTTTTTTTTTTTTTTTTTTTTTTTTTTTTTTTCTTTTGCAGGGTCTTACTCTGTTGCCCAAGCTGAAGTGCGCAATCACAGTTCACTGCAGCCTAAATCTCGTGGGCCTAAGTGGTCCTCCCACCTCAGCCTCCTGAGTAGCTGGGAGTATAGGCATGTACCACCACACCCAGCTATTTTTTTTTAACTTTTATTTTTAGTAGAGACAAGATTGCTGTGTTGCCCAGGCTGGTCCCAAACTCCTGAGCTCAAGCAGTCTTTCAGTCTCAGCCTCCCAAAGTGCTGGGATTATGGGCATGAGCCACTCTGCCCTACCAAATATCATTATTTTTATTAGTTGATATGAAAGTCTACAAACAAATTTTGAAATTAACTTGATGCCTTTATTAATGGCAAATGGGCATAAGATCATTTGGACAAGTTTTATTTATATTATATATTCTAGGACCTTTCTTATCTATGCTTAATATAAGTTATAGTTGTGAGCCTGACACAATTGCTTAAGGGGAAAAATGGTTTATTTCCCACATAATCTTTGAATTCCTAGAAGAAATTTTAGGAAAAAAAAAAGATGCTCATAATTCTACCTACCCAATGAAACATTTATAATTTTTTATACATATGTATTCCTATCTCATTTTTATCCAAATAATTTATATATGCATGTATTATTAGGATATATATTTGTAGTTTGTATTTTTTGTTTGTTTATAAAACATGTATTTTCTCTGTTGCAATAAGTGTTTATAATTGTTAATGGCCGGTAGTTGAATGAATCAAATTTTACAAAACCTATTCCCACGGTGGCATATTTGGCTTGCATCACATTTGGCTCTTACGGAAATATCTAGGACTGTTTGTAAAGTGAGACAATTTTCCCATCACTAGATTACACTGTCCCAGGCTTATTTAGGGTGCAGTGCTAGAATTTCTTCACAATCAGGTGAGAAGAACTGAGTCTTCACAAATCTGTACATGGGAGTAACTAGCTTTGAAAACACAGTCAACCATTATTATTTAAGAATTCCATATTTGCAAACTCACCTATTTGCTAAAATTAAGTTGCAATCCTAAAATCAACATTTGCGGCACATTTGCTGTCATTCACAGACACTCTCGGAGTGGGAAAAGCTGTGGGTGGCTTGACACATATTTTCCAAGCTGAGGTCAAACACAGCAGCACTCTGCCTTCTTGTCCCAGCTGTTCTTTTTCTTTCGTTCTTTCTTTCTTTCTTTCTTTCTTTTTTTTTTTTTGAGATGGAGTCTTACTCTGTCTACCAGGCTGGAGTACAGTGGCTTGATCTCAGCTCACTGCAACCTCCAACTCCCGGGTTCAAGCAATTCTCCTGCCTCAGCCTCCCAAGTAGCTGGGATTACAGACACACACCACCACACCCAGCTAATTTTTGTATTCTTAGTAGAGATGGATTTTCTGCATGTTGGCCAGGCTGGTCTCGAACTCCTGACTTCAGGTGATCCACTCACCTTGGCCTCCCAAAGTTCCAAAATTACAGGTGTGAGTCACCACTCCCAGGCTTGTTACAGCTCTTATACTGTTAACAAGTGTCCTTCTTCACAGCCTGTTTACTGCCACATTTTCACGTGTGTGTGTGTGTGTGTGTGTGTGTGTGTGTGTGTTTTAGAGGTGAGGTCTTGCTGTGTTGCCCAGGCTGATCTCAAACTCCTGATCTTACATGCCTTCGGCCTTGGCCTCTCAAAGTGCTGGGATTGCGGGTGTGAGCCGCCACACGTGGTCTTGAGTTTTGTGCTTTTTTGTTGATGATTTTGCCATTTAAAATGGCCCCAGGCATAGTGCTGCAGTGCTATCTAGTTCCCACACACAAGACAGCTGTGGGGTGCCTTATGGAGAAAGCATGTCTTCAATAAGCTTCATTCAGGCGTTTATAGAGCTGATGGCAGTGAGCTTGATGGTAACGGTCAACAATGTATATTTAGAGACACACATAAAACAAGGTTATATACTGATGGATTGACAAAACGTGTTGTAACCAGAGACTCAAGGAAACCAAACCTTGCATTTTTCCATTTTTTCCTGGGGACCATGGTTTAGCATTTACTACTTCTGTGTTTGCAGAGATTGTATAGAAAGTAACTTCTGCAAATGATTGAAACCAGCTGCACATTGGGAGAGTATCTGGATAAAGAAATGAAATGCAGTCAGATCACAGAATCTCCCTTTCCCCATCCCTAAAAGAAATGGGCAGAAAGGTAAAAACTAGCAGCTCTTCCAGAGAATTAAGACAGAGGGAAATCATCTTGTACTGGCTAATTTCTGTTTGCCCCCTGGTCCCACTTGCTACCCTTCTGTCATGGCTAATTTTATGTGTCAACTTGACTGGGCCACGGAATGCCCAACATCTATTAAACATTATTTCTGGATGGGTCTGTGAGGATGTTTCTGGAAAAGGCCAGCATTTGAATCAGTGGACTGAGCAAAGCAAATGGCCCTGTTCAATGTTAGTGACACCATCCAATCCAATCCACCGAGCACCTGAGCGGCAGATGGTTGAATTAGCTCTTCCTGGCTGTTTGAATTGTGACACCAGTCTTCCCCTGCCCTCAGCTTTCCTGGTTATTACGCCTTCACACTTGGGTTGGAATCTATACCCGTGGCTCTCTAGCTCTCAGGCCTTCAAACTATACCATTGGCTTTCCTTGGTTTCCAGCTTGCAAACAGCAGATGGCGGACTTTGAGCCCTCCATAATTGTACAAGCCAATCCTTTATAATAAATCTCTACATATCTACGTGTTTCTCTGGAGAACCCTGACTAATGCACTTTCTCCATGCTGCTCTCTGCTCCACAACACAGGCTGCCATGGACTCCATCAGTGGGGCTCTTGTGCCGTATAACTTCTGCTTGTATTGACAACAAGATGCCTAGGCATGAGGTAGAGGCCAGAGGGGACTGAGAACATAATGTCTGTCCCCTGCTCCCTCCACAAAGTGGCCAGTGGGCACTCGAATTCCTTCTAGGTTTTTTGCCTCATCTTTCAGGTTTAGGGGTGCTGGCATGGCTGCTGCTCGCTGCGACACTTGCCCTGTGCCCTGGGGTTTCCGTATACCATATAGAAGCTGCCCTGAGCTCTCCTGTTGCAAGTGTGCCTCTGCTGACTGTGGAGACCCGGACTAACGTGCTTCCCAACTTGTTGTATGAGGCCAGGGCCACCTTGAAACCCAAACCAGGAAAGCGCAATATGAGAAAAACAATCCTAGCCAGTTTCACTCATGAAAATAGATACAAAAATTCTGAAGAAAACATTAGGAAACATACCATGCACGAAAATCTAGGTGAAATATAAACATAAATGGGAAATGCCGAACTTTAAACATTTCAGAAAAAATATTTAAAAGTAGCCTTATAACCTTCATTTCCTAAATAAGGCATAAAAAATGCAAACTGTAAGAAAAATCAATACATTCTTCCAGTAAGATTATTTTTTCATCAACATGCCATAAATAACATGAAAAGGCAACCACAGCCCAGAAGATGATATTTGCAAGAAGGATAAAGAAATCCCACAAACCAATTGAAGACAACCAAACAGAAAAATGGGCAGAAGGGTTGAACCTGAGACTTAATTGCAGATTTCAACAAACTCTTGGCCGGCCTTCTTCAGCTTTTGCTGCTCACTGCTTCAGTGGGAAGAGCATCTGCTCACAGAAAACCAGAAAGATCACAGGAGAAGGCGGAAGCAGGAGTGCCGCAGCCTGCAGAATCATTTGCTTTTTCTTTGCTTTCAAAATGGAACCTGATGACTATTTGAGGGCTGGTAAACAGATACTGCGTTGTGGAAAACGTCTGCGGAAAGGAGACCAAACGCTGGATGAGGAGGACGACCTGCCCACAAGCCCCTCCACCCTGGGTGTCCTTGGCCTCTTGTGACACGCTCCGACTTTCTAAGCCTCATGAGTTCTCAGGTTTCTGTTTCTGGAAAGAGAAAATGTACCTGGAACCTTTGGAGCGATGCCAGCTTGGAGCCATCTGTAGCAGCGCCTTGTTTGCTGACAATCTGTGGGCCTGCTGCTGCCCTGCTCCCCAGAACCAGAGGGCATCTCCAGCCAAGGTCAGCCATGTTCTTCTGCTGCTGCCCTGGGGGTGAGGGCTCAGGGCTGCAGTAGGAGCTGCTGCTGGCAGCGTGGACCCTGCTCCCCCACCCCCGCCCTGCAGCCAAGGCTGGGAGAGCCCTGAAGCAGGCAGAGAATGCTGACGGTTCCTTCCTGGGCCATCTTTGGAGGGTGCCCGGCAGCAGGTGAGTTGCAAATAGATTTGCTTTCTCCCTGGATGATATCCAGGTCAGTAACTAGCCTAAAACAGGATTATTTAGGGGACAAGGAAGAGCTTGTCAAATAGTGCTACATGCCAAAAACAAACAAAAACAACACATAGAGAGTGGAGAGAAGAAAGCAATGGAGCTCAGCCCTGCTGTTTACAGAGGTTATTTGTTTCCCCAGAGTGATGACAAATTTCAGATAGCAGATGTAGGCTGATGAAGAGAGTGTCACAGTGCGACCCTTTCCTAGCCCCAGTGCCACATCTGCTGGTGAAGGGGTGATGGAAAGCCGCAGCTAGGAAACTCTGTCTGCAGCTTCCTCAGCCCACGCAAGCAGAGCCTGCTGGGGTAAAACACATCATGCTCTTATTTCCTGCTTCTCCCAGGAGCTGGACTCATAACTCCCAAGCTTGGTCGTCAAGAGACAGAACCAGGAAGTTGTGGAGCTCATAGAGGGTTCCTGTGGGACACGCACCATCTCGTCCACACAGCATTCAGCCACGGGTTGATCCAACAGGAGTCCCACACTTGCCATCATGCCTGGCCCAGTAGCGGCTTGTTACCAAGTTCAGCTCATGAGATAGGAGGCCTGGTTTGCTGGACACCTGGAAAAGATACTTCCTCTTTCTTTTTCTTTCTTCTTTTTTTTTTTTTTTTAGCTTTCTCTCTCTCTCTCTCTCTCCTTTCTGTTTTTTTTTTAGATGGGGTCTTACTCTGTTGCACAGGCTGGAGTGCCGTGGTGCAATCACAGCTCACCGCATTCTAGATGTCCCAGGCTCAAGTGATCCTTTCACCTCAGCCTCCAGAGTTGCTAAGACCACAGGCATGCATTGCCTGGCTGATTTTTATGTTTTTTAGTAGAGTTGGGGTTTCACCATGTTGGCCAGGCAAGTGTTGAACTCCTAGCCTCATGTGATCTGCCCAAGTGTTGGGATGTGAGCCACCACGCCTGGCCAAATTGCACATGTTTAAAGTGTTCAATTTGATGAGATTTGTCATACACATGCACCTGTGGAATCATCGCTACAATTAATACAACAGACATATTTATCACCAGGAGTTTTCTCATGTCCTTTTGCAACCCTTCTCTCCTACGCCCCTTATTCTGTGGACAGGAGCAGACCCCACATTTCCTATTACTCCATAGTCTAAGCAGAGCTCCTATTTCTCCCTCTTGTATGGACAAGAACAGGGCTTCCCTTTGTGATAGCCGGCACTCCTAGCTTACTCTTGCTCCACAGAGATACTCAGGCCCCTACATTTCCCTTATTTCATGACAGCAAGCAGACAACAACTAGGTCCTCTATCTCCCTTTGTTCCGTCGCTGGGGCTGGAGTGCTTGGTGCAATTTCAGCTCACGGCAGCCTCCACGTCTCCTGGGCTCAGGAGATCCTCCTACCTCAGCCTCCTGAGCCTTCCTGGGACTACAGGTGTGTGCCACCATGCCTGGCTAATTTTTGTATTCTCTATAGAGACGAGATTTCACACATTGCCCAGGCTGGTCTGATACCCCTGGGCCCCAGCTGTCCTCCCAGCCTCGGCCTCCCAGGCATCAGCCACTGTGCTCAGCCCCTATTCCATGCTTTAACCCAGCTCCCTGTCTCCATTTATACATGGAACTTACCAGAATCGTATTTTTTCCCAATTCCATGTCCACAGAGTCAGAGATCAGCATTCTGCTGCCACAAGCTCAAGAACGGCAGTGTGACCTGTTAGGGCCTCTGCATCTCCTTCTGTGGCATAGCCAGGGTCTATGTTTTCCTTTTCTTCAATTAAAATTGCCAGTGACTCATTTTCCTTTTTATGGACACAACCAACTCCCATAGTTCATAAGCAGATTTATTGTTTATGCTTTGAGCCCCACGTCCATGGGGATTCTAGTATAGCCCACCCAATATTACTTTTCCTCTCTAAGGGCCTCGGTCTGATGGTAGGATCCCGGGGTGTGTCCAGGGTGTGCTGAGATGGCCCAGGCCTGAGCACCCTCCTGATCACTCAGAATCCTTCATTATCTATTCTACAGCACGTGGCCCTTGGCAGCTGAGGCTCAGGGAATTCCAAACATATCACCTCCACCAGCTGGACAGGTCCTCTCAAGGCAGGCTCTGGGGACAAGGGAGGATGTTGTGACAGGTCCTAGCAACACCATCATGATGGGAGGTGGCCTGGCTTCCAGGACAGGAGGGACCTGACAGGCCATGAGTTTAAGAGTGGGTTCAGAGTCACAGAAGAATCACAAAGAAGATGTTTTTATGAAACCTGACTTGGGAGCTGGTTCTTTGCCCACATCCAATTAGTCTCTACCGCAATCCGAGAGGAGTCTTTCTCCCGATTCTCATATTACAGATGAAGAAACACAGCCTAGGGAGATGAGGTAACTCTCCCAGAGTCCCCAGCAAAGGCCTTGAGCCAGGACAGTTGGACTGTTAGGCTCCTGCTTCCCTTCCTTAGTAAGCTGCTTCTCACAGACCAATGCTTTATTTCGTTTTGGATATTTTAACTTTTATTTTGGTATAATTTCAGACTTACACAAAGGTTGCAAAAATAGCATAAAGCATTCTCGTATACCTTTCATCCCACGTCCCCAAATGTTAACGTATTATGCAATCACAGTATAGTGAAAACTAGAATATCAACGTTCACACAATACTATTAACTAATCTGCAGATTTTATTCACATTTCATCAACTATACCACTGATTTTTTTTTTTTTTCTGGTGGGATTCTGTTTAGGGTCCCACCTTAACAAATGATTTTTGTTTGTTTTTTTGAGACAGAGTCTCGCTCTGTCACCCAGGCTGGAGTGCAGCCATGGCATCTCGGCTCACTGCAGGCTCCACCTCCCGGGTTCAAGTGATTCTCCTGCCCCAGCCTCCTGAGTAGCTGGGATTACAGGCATGCATCACCACGCCTGGCTAATTTTGTATTTTTAGTAGAGATGGAGTTTCACCATGTTGGCCGGGTTAGTCTCGAACTCCTGACCTCAGGTGATCCACCCACCTCAGCCTGCCGAAGTGCATTACAGGTGTGAGCTACTGTGCCCAGCCAAAAATGTTTTTAAAATAGGGTGCTTGGAAGTGATGTCACGGGCCCCATGTGAGCGGATTGCAACACATGCAGCTGCCTAGAGAGAGGGAGCCAGTGTCCCACGTCAGAGCCACCGCTGCCGCGGCGCTGCCGCCGGGGAGGGGCAACCGCTGCCGCCCAGGACTGGGCCTTTAGGGAGGTGGAGGCAAGAAGATGGCTTGGAGGCGGCCCGTGGCAATGGCACCAGCATGATATCACTGATCATTCCTCCCAAAGACCAGATTTCACGAGTGGCAAAAATGTTAGCAGATGAGTTTGGAACTGCATCTGACATTAAGTCACGAGTAAACCGCCTTTCAGTCCTAGAAGCCATTATATCTGTGCAACAAAGACTCAAACTTTATAACAAAGTACCTCCAAATGGTCTAGTTGTTTACTGTGGAACCCTTGCAACAGAAGAAGGAAAGGAAAAGAAAGTCAAAGACAAAACTATGTCGGAAAGTCGCAGAAACTGCTGTGCAGCTGTTTATTTCTGGGGACAAAGTGAATGTGGCTGGTCTAGTTTTAGCTGGATCTGCTGACTTTAAAACTGAACTAAGTTAATCTGTTATGTTTGATCAGAGGTTACAATTGAAAGTTTTAAAATTAGTTGATATATCCTATGGTGGTGAAAATGGATTCAATCAAGCTATTGAATTATCTACTGAAGTCCTCTGCAACATGAAGTTCATTCAAGAGAAGAAATTAATAGGACGATACTTTGATGAAATCAGCCAGGACACGGGCAAGTACTGTTTTGGCGTTGATGTTACGCTAAAGGCTTTGGAAATGGGAGCTGTAGAAATTCTAATAGTCTATGAAAATCTGGATATAATGAGATATGTTCTTCATTGCCAAGGCACAGAAGAGGAGAAAATTCTCTATCTAACTCCAGAGCAAGAAAAGGATAAATCTCATTTCACAGACAAAGAGACCGGACAGGAACATGCTTATTGAGAGCATGCCCCTGTTGGAATGGTTTGCTAACAACTATAGAAAATTTGGAGCTACGTTGAAAACTGTCACAGATAAATCACAAGAAGGGTCTCAGTTTGTGAAGGGCTTTGGTGGTATTGGAGGTATCTTGCGGTGCCAAGTAGATTTCCAGGGAATAGAATACCAAGGAGGAGACGATGAATTTTTTCACCTTGATGACTACTAGGTAGTCGACATGGGTCTGGCAAAACGTGCCTCACCCTCCAGCATCCAACCCAAGGAGCATACCCATGGTGGAATCCAAACAGATCCCTGCCTTACAATTGGAACATTTCCAGAACTTAATCCATGAGCATTGGATATTGAAAAGAAACTGAAACAAAACCAGAGCCAGCCCTACACTTTGGTTTGTCATGGTGTCAGCGCAGCAGCCTACGACTAAGTTCCTAAATGCCACTTTGGACTAATTTAAAAAAGAATCTCAGTTTTTACTTTTACTCAATGGTGAAATTGGTTGCTCTTGTATTTTATGAAAAAAAAAAATGATTTTTTTAACTTTCATATATAGAAGCAAAAATACTTTAACTGCTGTAAACCTTCAAAAGTTAATAGAAATGAGATCATAGTGGTTTGTTTCTTATTTTGTTTGGAGTAAAAAAAATTGCTTCATTTCACAGTGGCCCATTTGCATGGCATTCTGAGCTTTGACTGCATAAGAAGAAATACATGTGATGAAATGTTGGAACCACTTCTCTCTTGGTCTCTGTTTAATGTTGAAAGGGTGAGCTAATAGGAGGCAATTTCAACTTCACTTTCTCACGCTCCCCTGTCCCCCACCAGACTGGCAGTTTCAAGGATGCAAATTGCATTGCAAAATCCAACTGACTCTTGAAGTACTTGGGCCAGTGCACTGTTTACTTCCATCTGTTTGCAGACACATTTGTGCCTGGCGTTTGGGAGTCCTTTGTACTGATGTTCTGACAAGGGTCCCTATAACCTTAACCTACCTGAAACCAGTTTGGAATGGATATGATGGGGCTTCTGTGCCTCTTGCTGGGATTGGGAGAAATAAAACATGCAATTTAAGTGGAAGTGAAGAAATTTAACGAGGATTTTCTTTTGCGCGGGTCAATCCTTGTTAAAAGGGAGGTGGACGTGTTTTCCTTGTGTTGGATGGCATGAGATTATATGAATGTTTTGATTTATTAAAATGAACTGCAAGGTTTTTCACAGGAACAACCGACACGTATGACTGCATGTAATTATATACTCCTGACCTCCTGGTGGGGTTGGAGCATCTGTTTCAAATGTGGGACTTACAAGCGCCTCTCACATGAGAAATTAGGAGTGGGTGGGAAGGGATGGGACACAGCTTCCGGCGCCATGGAGTTTAAGACCATGTTGGATCCAAAAATTGGCCTGAAAGCCTGAAGCTTATGCTTCACAGCTGGCCTGTAAGTCAGACTTGAACCCAGCTGGTATGCAAGGTCGTGGCATGCCGGAGGTGGTGACAGTGAGCAAAGTGTATAGTATGTGCCCAGTGGTAGCAATGGAAAAAAGTATACCAAATGGACTTTGAAGGGCCAAAGGTTTTAAAAGTCAGTTGGTATCACCTCCACACTGACTAGGGTAGCGGGGTACGTTTGGTTTTCAAATGGGTACTTTTAACACTTTAGTGCCTGACTGCTATTCTTTACTGACTTGATTCAGTCACTTGTAGGTTTATGGGTCTGAACCAACTCCTTGTTCCCAGGTTACAGACCTGACTATTGTTCCAATCATCCTGTTTCACTTGAATGAAGGGAGTATGTCTTAAATGTAAAGTTTCTGGTTCTCACACTGTACTCTGAGGTCCAAATGCTGTCTGTCAATGTGTAACCTGATGTCTCAACCCCCAGTGAGAAGGGTCGATTCTTTGGTGTTCACCAACGTGGGAGACTTCACTGAACAGCCTTTTTTGCTTTGGGCTCTGCTGTTTGTTTGCAGAACACCCAAGAGCAAGCAAACATGCTCTCTTCACAGCAGTACCTTAGGGTTTTGCCATTGTAAATGGGTCTGATGTGATATGACAAGACCAGAGAAATTGGATGTAAATTTACATTTTTGAATATGCTTGCTGTTTCACATGAAACATTTAGGGCATGCAGCTCCTTTTGTAGTTTTTATTTTTACTGTTGAAGTTTGGAAATGATGCCAAATTTTTGTATTTCTTTAATCAATGTGTTCCCTTTGGTGATATATATTGCATTATATATTGATGTGTATTACACTTATACATACAAACACAAATAAGAGGGGGTGAAAACCGTAGCCTTTGCATGCTCTATAGCCTCTGCAGAGAGATCCTAAGCAGCAAAATCTTGGTGTTGTAATGTACAGAAATGGAGAACAGTATTAAACCACATTTAAGAATAAAAAAAAAAGGCCGGGCACGGTGGCTCAAGCCTGTAATCCCAGCACTTTGGGAGGCCGAGGCGGGTGGATCACGAGGTCAAGAGATCGAGACCATCCTGGTCAACATGGTGAAACCCCGTCTCTACTA